TTTGGTGAAGCGGCCTCCTCTCAGTGGTGAGGAGCCAGCAGACGGCATCCGTGACTGTCAGCACGCGGCCTCACGTCATCTCCTCCAGCTTTAAAAAGGAGCCTCCCACGAGAAGAAGCTGCCACTCCAATTGACTTTTCCTCAGCGAGAGTAATGAATGATTTTTTTTAGAGAAGCAAGCTCTTCACCTAATGCAGAATAATCGATTTAAGTAGGCAGTTTTCAGCTTTTTTTTTTTTTTTTCTTCCTTCTTCCCCCCGCTCAGCCGGTGCCCTGCAGACATCTTGCTGTAGCCATGTAGAAATGTGGACTTTCCATTACTCCGATCTCAGGGCTCCAGACCCTGCGATCCCACTCTGGGGGCCAGTTATAGCGAGTAACGAGACCAAGGGAACAGGGTCATAAATCCTCTCCAACGCTCCTTATTTTCCATCCTCTCCCTCTCTGTACCTCCCCTCTTTTCCTCCCTTTCTCCTTCGCTTCCATCTCTCCTACTGGAGCTTTCAGAAAATGATTGAACTGAACTGAAACAAAACAATGTGAAGTATTAGCGCGTTTGTTAGAGGACGGTATGAATGTGGCTAAAGTTCTGCTAATGTGGGGGAAAATGAGTTTATTTCCCGTCTTATTGTTCCTGTTGGCCTTCTGCTTCCACTTCTGATTTGTGTATCTTCTAAATCTTAAAAAAAACAAAAAAAAATCACTCCCTTTACAATTTCCTCACCAATGAAAATGTATTCACATCACATAAAGGGATTCGTTTCTCTCGGCCCCTTCGTTATCTCACTTATCAGATGTGGCGTCCATTACGTCTGATGGCGCGATAGGGAACTGTTTAATCTAATGATGTTGTTTGAAGCCAGGGCCACAAAGAAGCCCCCTCGCTATTTCCGTCTCCCACGATACCTCGCTTTTTCTCTGAGAGGGCGTCAGCTTGTGAAGTGCTTTCCATCGCACGCGTCCGCTGGGGAGCTGCACAAATATGCAGAGTCATGCACACAGCTGGCGGGTGAATGCACTTGTAAGAATGCAGCAGGGATTTTGTTCATGCCCGTCACTTCTCTGACCTTTGTCTAGCTGCGATTTTACTAAATTAGGAATGAAGGTTGACTTTTTCGGGACTGGACAAGGCCGGGAGTGGCTTTTCTTGTTGAGGAAAAAGAAGGATGTTTCCCCGAAGGTGGCTCATTAGGAATTCCCTCCCATTCATATCAGTTTTGCTCACTTATGTAGCGGCTCTGTGATACATCCTCCTTTGGGTCTGTCCAAAATGTCCACAAGTCTGTGTTTAAGCCTCCCAAAGCTTCATCACGCCCGAGCATGGCACCACCACGCGTTCGCTCCTTTTATGATTAAATATCAAGGAACTCCACTTGACGTTTTATTAGCCCAACAAGATGGATGGAATGGCCCGAATAAAGTAGGCTGTGTCTGTTCACTTTCCCACCAACGCTTGCCTTTCGCCCGTCCGGCTTCGCTCTCCCTCTCCCGACTCTGAAAGAAGAATGTGTTTGGAAAATGTGATGGATTTCACTCTAAAGGGGAGCTTTTTAGTGCCACGGAGGCAACATATATTTCCGTCTTGTACCTGATGCTCCTGTTCCGCTCCCCCCTGTATCTCCGCCCCTCCCCTCATCTTTCTGACCCCCTTTATTTTTTATCCCGTTCTACCTCAGATCTCTGTCTGAAGGATTAACCGTCTCCAGCAGTGTGTGTATTGTTCGCCGTCCGCTCGGACCCATCCGTGCGGCTGCTCATTTCAGCCGCCCGGTCGCAAATTGAGGGGGGGGGGGGGATCGTCTGAAGCCACCGCAGCCCCCGGGCCACACTCACTCTCCCGTTCACCTGTGGGCTGCAGCTTCACACACAGACATGCGCGCTCATTACCTGACTTGTCAGGTTCGCGGAGGCACTGGGGCGTGGAACCCGAGCCCTGTTTGGCTGCAGGCGCCGGCCTAGTGTTTGTGTAAAGGCATCAAGGCCATCGAGACAATGCTTAGGAGGGAAGAGAAAGATAGATCTGCTTCCTCTCTGTTTTGAGAAGTTTAACACTTCAACACCCAGGGGTCTGCTCCTGTCTTCTCCTTAGCCTCGGGCATGCCAGAGCAACTCAAAACACTGACTGTTAGCTAATTCTACCTGTGCTCGCTCAGTTGCTTTAAAAAAATAAAAAGAAAGGAAAGAAAAGAAAAAACAGGCAATCAAGCACATTTGTGGTGAGCCGAGATGAAGGTAGAAGGTTCCATTGAAAGCGACTGCTCCATTTGTAAAAGGCTAAATCAAGCCTGGGAGAAGAATAGAAAGGAACGAGAAAAGAACTTGTTTTTTTTTTTCTTCTTCTTCTTTTTTCTTCTCAATCTCATGTTTGTTCCCTGTCTCATGCCCCCCTTGAAATTACAGGAAAAAAGGCAGCCTCATTTTGTGCAATTTCACTTTCATGTTTTCTTTCTCTTGCTGCATACTCTGTTGATTCGTTTTGGTTTCTTTGATTCTTATCTGGATGGCTGAAATTACATTTAATTGCAGTGTGGAAAAAATTGGGTTTTCAAAACAGCCTGTGAGAAAAAAAACAAAAGAAAACCCTGCAGTTTGGTGCAGCCAAACGTAGACTTTTCAACCCCGGCACGTGTGGGGAGATTTGAGTCTTTTCTGATAATTCCTAATCCCCTGACTTTGTAGGCACGGATTTTTTACTTTGGGAGTGTTTCTCATGTGTCACTCAGATTTTGTAACCTATCCGGAGTTCACACGCACCTTAAAACGGAGCCGCTGACACCTGGACCCGTTTGTTTTGACCTGAGTCACTGATTCAGGGTGATAAATACAAGTTATCAACTAACTCAGTGACGTGGAAGCGATACGTGCCCACGGGGATGTACTGTACAACGTTTGGGCAGGAGGAGTGTGTGTATGTGTGTGTGTGTGTGTGTTATTGTGACTGAACCAACCGAGAAGGAAGAGATGGCAAAACTAAAGGAGAGCGCTGAGTATTCACTGGACAGCGTTTGCGTGTGTGTGTGTGTGTGTGTGTGTGTGTGTGTATGTGTGTGTGTGTGTGTGTGTGAGCTGACTCTGCAGTGTACGGGAATGTCTGGCACGCCTCCAGAGGTATCCCACCGAGAGGGAATCCTGCTTGATGTGACCATGAATAGAAAGCCTTCCCTGCCCCCCTGGACCCACCCCGGCCTTTGATGTCAGGAGGTCACACAGAGCCCTCAGAGTTGGGGGAGGGGGGGGGGGGGGGCATAGTTACCCTAAATGCCTGGCAACCTCCACATATGCTGCCAGTTTCGCGGCCTGAACCAAAGAAACGGCTCAAAAATAGAGAAAGCTGTTAGTCTTCAAGCACCTAACTTTATGACTAAAGTGCACTAATTATATGAGCTTGTGTTGATGTATCAAGCTAAAGCAGCAGCAACACAAAAAATAATAAAAAGAGTTTCAGGGTTTGGAAAGTGCATACAGCCACAGTGGCTTTTATTCACCTAGCTCCAGATAGCAGCTACGGGTACTATACTAAAGTATGTGGGTCTCATAATAACTGTCAGCATGGGCAGTTTGTGTCGGCCGCTGCTGTGCGGAGTGATGAAAATCGAAAGCAAGAAGAAAATCGCCTCCCCTTTCTGTCACACCGCACAGGTTTATCAAACCGTACAGTCAGCGAGAGATTCACAATGCAGCCGTTCAGCCAAATGCGCTCCAGTTAAAATCTGAAAGTAGCCGGTGAATCGAAGCGGATTGTTGTATTATCTTTAAAATTCTCCTGTCAGTTTAGGCTGATATTTGACCTCAAACAGACCAAAAAAAAAAAAGAGTGCATCAGTGCCACAACAGTGTGCGCCAACTCACAGAAAGTCTGGATCTCTCAGCTGAGCAATAAAAGCATTGTCTGATGGAGGATTTGAGCAGAGGCCATTTTAAGTTTTATAACTACCTCACTTATCAGCTCCGATACGCATCAGCCCTAAATCAACTCCAACTCCCCGACTCGTCCTCGGTGCATTGGTCCCAGCTTGAAACAGGCGGTTTGAAAAAAGCCAATGAAAGAGATGTGGACGAGCACCAAAACGTGAAGGGGTTCTTTTTTCCCTTTATCTTTGACCGTCCTCCAATTTCTATAGTAACTGGCCTTGAAGTTTTAGCGTACGAATGTAAAATGTGTTTGTTTACAAGTTAATTTCACGAGCTAGATGGTAAAATTGCCTGAGGTTGTTTAGGAATAGAGTTTTTCAAACACAATTGGGCAGAGGCTTTTGGGAAGACCTAGATGTCAGTTGAAGGGATAATATATCCTTTCTTCTTGAGAATGCCTTGGCATTCCCCAGGAGGTGTGACCAGGGAGACGGATGTCTTGTTTTTCCTTCTGAACCTGTTCCCCTCAGGACCTTGGATGAGTGGGAAAAGATAGACAGATGATGGAATTTTTTTCTGTTCATGTTCATCCACAAAACTGTGGAAATGGCTTTAAAAAATTTTTTTTTTCTCAGACTTCTAATTTTAGCTTTAATGAGAAATCGTCACCGCCATTGTTTCACTCTGCTCATCTTTCATCTTGCCGGGCCAAAGATCACACTAAGTCTGCCCACAGGTCACATTTATGAAAACTTAAGACAATGTCTATTCTTGTCTAGGTATTTGTTTGTTCGGGCCATTGCCATGGGGATGGCTAATGGTTTGTTTTAAAGCAAAAATGAGTTAGATTCAGGCGGCCTTGGAGTCACTGCCAATGCGCCTTAGTGGCAGAACTTAATGAAGACTATCTCACAGAATCATCAAGGACTTGGAATATCCACCGTCTTCAGTTTGTGTCTTTCAGTCTCCGTCTTGTCTGTCTTCTCTCTCCTCTTGTCTCGGCTCCTTTTCCTTTCTCCTTAGGTCTCAGCTGGCTCTGTTCCTTTGCCCCTTTGATCTCAGTGAAAGGGTTTGGAGCTTTAAAGTGCTTCTGTTTCCGCTGTCAGGAGCCCCTCTCTTCCTCCTCTCTGGTTTAGACTTTCAGAGCGATGGCAGCGGTGTTGTGGTGGTGCGTTGCCGGGTGGGTTATGGGGTTGGAAGTGGATGAGGTGGTGCGGGTCTCTGAGGTGGTGAGATTGAGGATGAGGTGAGGCTGGAGAGGGGCGGTGGGCATGTGATGTTGTCAGCCTCAGCCAAGAGAGGACCTGACACCTGACTTATTCCAGTTTCCTTTCCGAAAAAAAAGAAAAGAAAAAAGAAAAAAAAAAGTTCCCAACTCAGTCTTGCCCCTTGTGGCCAAAAGATGGACTCAACATCTCATTCAGGGATGGGCTGCCAGAGAATAAATAAATAGATAGTTAGTTTCTGTTTTTAATGGGATAACAATCAGTTGGCATGAGCAAGGCAAACTTTGCAACCCTCAATTACTTACAATGAAAATATGCGAGACATTGTTCATATAAACAACACTTGTCAATTGTGGCATCGTAAAACAGAGAGGGAATGATGTTTATGGAGTCCATGCATCACGGAGAGTATTCAGCTGTGTAATCCATAGACATCTTGGGTCTTCAGGAATTTTTGGATATTTCTAAATCTAAAGATGATTGGTTTTTCTCCCTTTTGGATTAGTCTATATACCAGCCATAAAAATAAACAATGATGGTCTGTGCTTAGTAACGTTGTAGTAACATGTTGGTATATTGACTTTGGATGTGGACTTGGACCAGTTTTCTCTTCCCTTCTGCAAAGTGCACACAAACAAAAAATTCATCTTATTTTATGTAAAAACCATTGCACGCTTGACCTGAAAGTATTTTGCAAGGCACGGCTCCTATTATAGCACACCGCTGTGTCAATACCGCCGGGTCTAACTGCGGCCCCCACAATGAGACCTTTTGTGCAGAAGTGAAGTCACCCACCTTACCCACAACTGTGATGTTTCAGCAGCCATCATCCAAAAAAACGATTAGTGTTGATACGACCTGGTTCTAAACAAAGATTCAAGGCCTTTCCCAAAGAACACACGCCCCTCTATGAAACCTCAAGATCTTTTGGGGGAACATTTACCCTTGGCAAGTGGACATTCATCCGGTGAAATAAGACGACAGCTTAAAATCCGCAGACCGCGCAGTGTAAACATGCGTTGCCTTAAAAGAGGCGCTGGGTGGTTTAAGCGAGGCCACGTGAAGGGAAATGGCTTCCATATGTGAAACACTCCGGCTTTTTTTCTTCTTCTTCAAACTCGGTTTGAAGGACGTCTTCTTCGCGGGTTAATAGGAGTTGTAAACCTACGAAAAAGCGGAGAGATGACGTTTGCGTCTGTGGTAAGCGGAGGCCTGAAAAACCCCGTGGTGCCGCTTTGATGTAAATCTCATATCAGGTGTATCGAAAACTTTTCTTCTCCTGCACACACCTGCTTGCACACTTACAAGGGCTGAGCATTCCTGCACACACACTGCTTTTTGTCAGATTACTTCCCTTTGTCATGTTGATTAATGCATGCTGGCAGATGCTAAGATGATCACGGGCCCTGCAGAGAGGCGCTGAATGCGGAGGATCAGGCCACTGTATTGCGTTTTCTTTCAGAGACACACCACACTCCTCTGAACTATCCATCTCTCCGCTGTCCTCCTCAAATCCCCTCACACCTGGCTCTGCCCCCCCAGAGACATCTTTGTTCTCCCTCATTTGTCCAACTCCTTTTTCTGTTGTAACTCTTCCCTATCCACTCTTTCCTCCCCATCTCACAGTTCATATCTTCAGTATTCCCTCCTCCTTGTGACTTCTGTTAGGGGCTGTAACTCAACTCTATTCTCCTTTCAACAAGCTGAATTCTCCATGTGTCGCTGAGTTCCTACAAATCAAAGTGCGCTTTCTTCCCCTACTGACCGGCCATCTCTTTTTTCATCCCTCTCTTAGTGGACAAGGCCTACTGGTAGGACATGTGGAAACACTAAGGAGGAATAAGTTATATTTCCAAAGGTCAGAGGAGGGTGATGCCAACACAGTGTCAGGGGAACAAAATTACAGCAGAATTCGGTTTGCATTTTAGTTTTCTACTCTGCCGCGAGTGGCAAAGCAGGTTTTTTTGTTGTTCCCCCTCATCTGCATCCCCGTGTGTGTGTGTGTGTGTGTGCAAACTGCTGTCTCATCTATGGAAACGACACGGCGAACGTCAGTCTGCAGCTGTGTTGTGATCTGTGCAAATGAGGCTTGCAAATGGTGGCAAGCGGGCACATGACTTGCTTATCGTAAACACACTCCTCTCTCTCACACACACACACACACACACACACACACATGCACACCTGTTTTGAAGTTGCCCTCACCGTAGCCTGCTCGGCGTGGAGGAAATAACACATTCATCATGAGCTTTTTGACAGCTGACGTGCAAAAGAACACTTATCGAATGGAGGTTTCCTAAGATTTCCCACAGTGGACTGTGCACGATTTGGCATCCTGTGCCATGCCATCGCACATGCGAGCACATGGAAGGCGTTTTGCAGTGTCCATTTGTCGGCCTTTTGGGCTAATTACGGAGCGTCTCTTGAGGAACAACGTTTGTACGTGTGGCTTTTTTTTTTTTTTTTCCTCCACAAATGTTCTTTGTGTTTCTAAGTCTGGCTGTTGTTTTCGGTCCTCAGTGCTCATTATTGACCCCGGCCTGAGCTCTTTCATTAGGAGAAATGTGAAGTGGAGGGCCGACAGGGCTGGTAGGGGATCAAGGGACGGGGCGGCGGTTGTAATTGGGCTGTTCCGCTCCCTCTGGCCTCACTCAAGGTCAGTGTGCGAGACAAACCGTGGGCCAGGTCTCTCACTCTTCTCCGTCTCTCCTCCTCCCTCTAACCTCCCGCTTAATCCACACTTTTTCCCTCTCCCTCCCACTTTCAGCCGTCCTTTTTCTTCTCCTGGGGTCTTTTGTCACAGTAGACTGGTCCACTGGGGAGCCACGGAGAAGCGGAGGGGCTAATTCAGTCTAATCTTTCAGCCCGTTAATGTCTGGCTGATATGTGGATTTCTCCACATCCTCCGGGGAAGGCCTTTGTGGTGAAGGCCATCATTATGGAGTTTCCAGGCCCTCCTAACCAATTATAAGTAGGGAGACAAATTACTTTGCCTTCAACTCCCAAGAAGTTTTCCTGATTGTTCTCAACTTTCTTTCAAATTTCATTTAAGAGGGACTTTTGAAAGGAAAGGTTTTTGATAAAGATAAAATCTGGTAGTGTTCTTTTTTTTTTTTTTTTTAAGGAAAAGGGTTGTGCTTTTTTGTCTGAGACTTGCAGACGGACTTTGGATCCATCGTGTGTAATTCTGTACTTGGTTCCAGCCTAAAGTCATCCGAGTTATGCTGCATTGTGGTGTAGCTTAGCTTGTCTCGCTCTGGCCAGCGGTGAGCTCGGTCTAACGTTTCCCTCTGATTAAGACGCAGTGGTGAAAGCCGCCTTTGATCTGAGGAAATGTCTGCGTTGGGAGCAGTTGGAATGCTGCGCTCTGCTCTCTGCCATGCGGATAGAAGGGGAGAGATATTTGTCTGGCTCTGCCACTCTGTCCAGCCATGGTTGTAAAATCCTAATGTGCAGGCTTAATGAAAGGAGCATGACGACCTTGGCAAATTTGTGGAGAAATCGAATTATTCGTGTTTACTTTACTCAAATTTGCTGACATAAGAGCACCGTGAAATAAAAAGATGTTACTCTTTTACTAATTGCACTAACCAGCCTTGATAGGAGTCACACAGCGGCGGTAATTCAAAGCTTGGATTCTAGTCTCATTCATATATTACCCCTATTGTTCCATTCAGGTAGCAGTAGACCCATTTTAACATTTGAAAGCAATGAAAACACCCTTTATTGTATTTTAGCCAGACATTTTATCCATTCTGATATTATATATTCTAAAATTAGGTACCCCCAGGCATTGCTAGCTGGGTTCAACATCCTCTAACATCTAACAGCATCAACAGCCATACCATACCAAACCATAAATGTTATTATTAACCTCCTGAGACCCTATGTCCTCATAAGAGGACGTTGCATTTTTGTCTCTCTTTACCATGATACTTCTTTTTTTCTTTCAGCTTTGACCTCTTGACCTCATAGCAGATGCTATCAGACACTGTTTGAAATCTAAAGTAAAATGGTTTTATACATTTCCATCCAATCATGTTCTTATTGTGTAATAGAAAAACTGTAAATGAGTCAATGGGACTGTCAGAACAAAATTGTAAAAACATTTAATTAAATATGTATCTCATATATCTTTAAAAAAAAAGCTAAAATGCATGCCAAATAAAAGCTCGGGTCTCAGGAGGTTAAAACTATTAAAATGTTGATATGTGTCAGTACTGATGGAAATAACTTGCAATTTCTCACTAAATCCGTTTGATAGCTTCAAGTTTCACTCTAAGTGGCAGCACATGTATCATTCTCTTCCTGTTTTGTCTTCTGTGTGTGTCTCTGCAGGCCTCCGGGGCTGGCGGGTAGTCCGGCTTTCTCTGACATCTCCCTCATTCGGATCTCACCCCAGCGGAACCCGCCCGTGGGGGCGGAGTCGCCGTTCCACCCCCCACACCCCTACATTAACCCGTACATGGACTACATCCGCTCTCTCCACAGCAGCCCCTCCATCTCCGTGGTGTCAGCCACCCGGGGCCTCAACCCGGCAGATGGTGAATACAGTGAAACATACACCGACCCACAAAAGCTCGACACACACACTCCCAACACACACACACACACACTCATCAGCTCACAATCCCAGCGGAGGGGAAACAGGCAGCGGGGTCTCTGTAGGCCTTTAAAAAATAATTGTTGAAATTGATCAGTTTTGGTTTGATTGCCGTTTGGAGGGATCTCAGCACTCCGGTTCAGCTCAATTCCAGTTTGAGATCAGAGGAGGTCAGGTGGGATGCAACCAGATCCGCCTCTATTGAGACCCAGGGGTCGGCAAACTGCTATCAGAGCGAGGGAGCTGGTGGACGGGAGCATTACCAGAGCGGTGCGCTCCGTGTGGGTGGGGACTCAGATCGGAGGGAGGCTAATCCTTTTGATCTGTGAGTCATGTCAGAGACCTCTGGAGGATGCATCAGCGAGCGCCGGGGTCACATACAGTTAGACTGAGCACAGCCAGGCGAGGTTAGATTCAAGTTCAGGGGTTTAAGGGGGACGGGAAGGTTTAGGTTGTGGTTTCCTTTAGGAAGGCCCCCCCCAAAGAAGTTAAAGTGGAATTGGATCTGAGGAGAAACCTGAACCATGTGGAAAAAAAGAGAAAAAATGCATGTTTAGTATTATTGGTAGAAAAAGCCAGTATTTAGAAAAAAAAGTCTATTGTGGCATGAAAAGTTTTATTTATTTTAAGTTTATTAACCAGCTTGAAACAGAATAGAAATAGATGCTGTTTTAAGCATTGATGCCTGTAACTTAGCAAAGTTCTTAGTAAAGTTTTTGTAGTTTGCAAATTTTCTCTAGACCAGAACCTGTAGATACTGGTCTACCAGTGGAACAAAGAAAGCATCTGAGATTTGGAAAATTGTGTTCTTTTTTTAAAGGCTGTTGGAAAAAAAGGGTAAACACAGAAAATGCATTAGGGGAAAAAAGCAATACAGAGATATAAAACTAAATTCTAAAAAAGTTGTTTTTTAAGATAAATTTTTCCCAATAATGTGTCCATTTAGTTTACAACACATTCATATCAAAGGATTTTGGTTCATAGCAATTTCCTTGGAAGTAAGTTGACAGATCCTATTTCCAAATACCCACCTTTAGCTAACGTGTTCAAATGACCCGGTAACCTATTATGGCTCTCACATCCTCAGCCATCAACCTTTTGACAATTCAGTTGCAGACACTCTCTTTAGCTCCTGGTCTGGTGCTGGAGTGTGCTTCTGAAATGGCAGATAGAGGGTCATTTCCTCTGTACCCATTCGTTCAGCTTCATCTCATCCCGGTCTGTTGAAAACAGCGTTAAAGTGATGATCAGAAGCCTTCTCTTGCTGCTTCTCTCGACCCCTCTCTTGCACTCCAACATGGCCTTTTGAAAACCGAAGGCATACACTCGACCTCAAACTCTCTGCCCTCCAGTTTTCCATTACCACCACATAATCTGCACTGGGCTCAGATTGCTTAAAATCAAAATAGTTTCTCCAACCTACCACATGATCCCCTTTCAATTCATAATGCTCTGAATTGTGAATGAGGCACCTAATTACTCCTTTAATCAATCCAGTGATTAATTAACCCGTCAGCTTTTGTGTTGTTAGTATATCACTGAGCTTACAGGGAGCCTCCTTCTTCAATATGCAAAGATTTTTTTTTTTGCCAGCAAAAAGTACATTTGAATAATGATGAATTAATTAACAGAATCTAATGGAGATTTAAAGTGGGTGGGATTTAGTGCCACCCTCTTGCTGCCACACATTTGCTTTCACACATTTTTCCCTCTTTTTCTTCCCCCATTTGATATTTTGCGCCTCGCTCTATGAGAAGCGGTTCAGAGGTAGATCCTATTGTTGTGCTAAAGGGGCACCGGGTGGCTCACCGTGTCCTGAGGCACAACTCTTGCTTCAAGTGCCACACTGACAGCCTTCTTCTCCGCTCCCCCCTTTTTTTTTTGCCCCAAGGATGGCAGTCCGATGCCAGCATTTCTGATTTAGAAATTCCATAAAGCTCTTTTGCATGCATAGATACTGAATGGGGCACATTATAGTTGAATGCAAAAGCAAAGCTGAGGCGGAACACTCGGGACAATTAAGAAACTCCCCCCTTCTAACGGAATAAAAGCCAGATCGAATTAATTTAGAGTTTTTTTTTCTTCCTCTCATGCAGCCAATCATGGATGCATATTGCAGGCATACAGGCCAGTCTTTAAAGCAAATCCTCCTTATACATTGTTTCTTTATTTATTTTCTCTTTATTTTTCCAATTGGGGGAAAAGAGCTGCAGTAGTCAGAAACAGTTCCATATTTGCTGCCAAAACCAGTGTTACTCTTTTACCTCTTTCTTTTTTTTCATTTTCTTCTTTTTTTTTTGGTTTACAATATTTGCATATGGAAGCACATCGCTAGATGTTTATTTTTAGGCTATGGTTCAAGGACAGCACTCTATAACTAAGAGGAAGTCTTAGAAATGGGAGAAACGTAAAGAAAGAAGGTGAAGTGGAGGCAGCATTGTTTGCTGTATTTTGTATGAGTGCGGATCTGTCGGGGAAGATTTAGGCAATTTGTCTCCCCTTAAAATCTTAAAAAGAGCCGAGTCGAGGAGCAGGTCGCATATCTGCAGAGTGCAGCCCTTAATGTGTGCGACACACATGCATCCTCTTTGGCAAAAGATGCGTGAGCCCACATACTCTTACCACACACACACACACATATCCAGTGTAGATACACTCATGCACCCCCTTCAAATGATCAAAGAACAGTGAGATGAAGAGAAAAGGCTGTTTAAGAATTGTACTGTAGGACTATCAGTTATGCTGTTCTTGGCGTGAATGAATCAATCAAACACTTCTGCACAATCAGTGTAATCTCTGAGCAAGCATGTGGTAATCCCCAGTGAGGCTCTCCACTTCAGGTGATGCTCCCCGTGCAGCTGTTTTGCTCGAGCTGATGGTGTTGCTAATGTGCTCGTTACTGTTCTGCTGAGCTGATTATCATCTCAAGCAAATGAGTGCACATTTTCAAATGCAGCGCAGGTGCTGTCCCGGCCATTTTTTTTTTCTTCTTCCCACCACCCAATACATTTACTCCCTCCTCTGCCGAGTCGGTGTGGGCGCTCCTTGGAACTTTTAGTGTTACTTTTCCTTTTTGCCTCTCTTCTCTTTGCTGACCTGACCTTCTCTCCCGCTCCAGTGCCTCACGCGGGGCTGACCACGGCTGAGTACTACCATCAGATGGCTCTGCTGGCAGGCCACCGCAGCCCCTACACCACCGACCTTCTCCCATCCGTGGCAGCCACGGCTGGGGCCAGCAGCGCCAGCGCCCTGCACATGGAATATCTACAGGCAATGGACAGTAAGTCTGCAAGGAACTAAATTTGGACAGGGGAAATAACTCAGAGTTGTATTCCAGTGGGATGTCTAAAGCCAGATTATCTGGTTGCCTACTAGGTTTTGTGGACAAAGAAAATTCTAACATAAAGTGCAAACGGCATCTAGATTTTACAGCTTTTTTAAGGTACTTTTATGAAAATTATATTTATTTGTGAAATATAAGCTTTATTATTTATGGCTTAATTTTTATTGTTGCTCTTAAAGTACAATATCCATCAACATAACCAAGAAATAATGAAACAATGCCTTTAATGGACAAAAGGTTTAACAACGCTAAGGTAAAATGGATATTTCAGGCAGCCCTTGGGGTAGAATGTCCCCCACCACATCAATCCCTGTAGAGACTCCACCATAAGGGCTCCTGAAGGTATTACCTGCATGTTGAGGGGTGGGTGGGCCATGTGGGAGCTCAACCTTAAAACTGTACTTTCACAAGGCACACATCTTGTACTATAGATAGATCAAGACACACTTCAGCCACAGCGAGAAAGCTTCTGCAACTTGTCTTTGACATGATTTAAATGAGCCTTTGTCTTAATGTGTTGAGCCCAGGACTGTGCAGGGGACTTATGCTAATGAGTTATTTTAAAGTGTAAATAGGAAATTAAATGCACACTGAATCTTAGAAAGGTCGGACAGCGTCACCCCTCTCCCTTTGATGAGAATGTATTTAGTCAGGGAGTCGCTGCTTTCATGGAAATCCGGGGTGAACTTCCCCCGATTCCTCAGAACAAACTAATTAAAACTAGCCAAACTTGTGCTGGTATCAGAAAATTAATTGCTATTAAGTGGGAATTGGAATGTCCCACCATTCATCACTGGAGAAATCCTTTCTTCTGTGTCACTTTTTAAGATTAATAGACTGAAACAAAACAATTAAGGCCAAATTTGAGTGGAGATGCGCTGCTCCTCACTTAAAAATTGCCTGTGATCATTGCCAGTAATAACTCATCATGCCTCAACAATGTGCACTCCTGAGCTGGGGGGGAAAAAAAAATTAACACTTTAAAGCTTTGGTAAATTTCACAAGAAAAAAGAATGCATACAAAGAGCAGGTCCTATCAAGAGGCTTCACTGATAATCTGGCCTCCCATTTTACAGAGGCTATTTTAGTCCATTTCAAATCAGTGTAATTACCTTCAGACAGAGTACTGCTAATGAAACAATGCTACTGTCCTGCCTATTTGTGCCTTAATAGGCCATTGTCTTCGTTAGTACTGCCTAATTAGCACCATAGCTCTCATAGATTGCTATAACTAGAGTCTACACTATAGTCTTAATGTTTCCTCTTTATTGGCTGACTTCTGCTATTTTTTTCTTCAAATAGTTTGTCGTGTTTGATATAAACAGTGTTGCTTTTAGTAACCCCGACTCGGCCCTGTGTAACCTGATTAATCGCAGCTATTAATTCCACGAAAACACCTTATCGCTGCTCCACAACATAAACGTTCTTTAGATGGAAATCTCACACAAAAATTTAGCTTTAAGCAGATATGAAAGGATATTAAAATGTATACATTTCTAAATTTGTGAACTCACAATCCAGGTTCTGCTTGTGCATGCTCAATTTTGGTTTAACTTTATTTAGTTATTGACTGTCTTCATTTGTAAAGGTTGAACCGAGGTTTATTGAAGTTGATTATGAGAAGAACATCAGTATAACTTTGTGTCTTTTATGAGTTTCCCAATTAATGACTACCTGTGTGTGCAGCATGATTGTATTATAATGAGAAATTATAATTGTCATGACAGGATTGTCAATTTCCATAATCTTTTTAATAATCTGTTCTGTGAATTTTTTGTTAACAAAGCCTAAAACATCAAAAAGGATTGTTCTATTCAAGTTCCTGTATTAATCTTTCTGCGGTTTAAATGAAGTAATTACTATTGTTATTAGGCTTATACATGATTGTGGCCTAAACAAAGCAGCAAAGAAAATCATGTTGTTTGTGTGACAATAATCTAATATTACAAATTTCACAACCGTGGGAACCCGAGTTTTATTACACATCTAGGATCTAGTTTAAACTTCACAAAAAAAAGAAAAAAATCTTTGATTCACACCCCGTCCCTCCTCTATAGCAGTGTCCTTCCCAGGGGGCTTGCCCCCTCAGTTGTGTCGCTGTGGGTTCAACCCCAGCTTTAGAGCTAACTTTTATTTCCACCACCGTCAGTCTGGCCTGTCTGAAACCCTCCCAGGCCCTCAAAATTAATGACGCGGCGAGTAACCAGCCATCCCGTCCATAAATCAAGAGGAAATTAGAGGGACAGTGCCGCTACGAGCCGGGACGCTCCTCTCTCTGTCTTCCCGGTTGGCCGATTTATCATTTGGGCTGTGCATTAATAAACACCACTCCCATGAGGCCTTGCAGTGGTGGCACACAGGCCCCTTCTCCCAAGATAGACCCCCCTCCCTCTCCTAATTCACCACAAGTGGATGCTATACCTTCTGCTCACTGGGAATGCAGCTTTTTTAAGATGCCACATGTGTCAAATTCAGGACATAGACGATTGCATTTCCCTATATTAAAACAACAAATGTTGTGTATATTTGTTTGTATAAATATATATACATATATACACATGTATAATATTTATATAGGTATATCTATGTATAGAATATGTTTTTTTTTGCAGGATTAGATGTATTCAAATGGTGAATGGGTGCAATATCAAACATGTCAGGGAGTCTCATGTGACAAACTACATTGTATTGAGCAATTGTGTGCGCTCAGGGTTTGTTTGCGTGCACCCCCTTCTCCAACTCTGGAAAATGTGAGATCCTCCATACAATAACAATGTAAAGGGGGTGCTTCTCTCCGTACAGCTTTATGCTGTGGAAGCACCTCTTGCCTGTTCGTGCCAGAACACCGCCGCTGCCACCACAGTGCGATCCACGCACGCACACACACATCCACATCCACACACTCTGATTACCATGTGAATGGAGCGCTCTGTAATCGCTGGATGTGTCAAACGAGAGACGGAGCATTTACGTTTTGGGAGATGGATGGATTGAGGGGGACGTAAATATGGAGGGGGGTTATCGGGGCTGCGCAAGCTGGTTTTGTTTGCCTTTATGAAATAACTCAAAATGTTTTATTTCCAAGTCTTGAGTCACAAAGTCATTGTGTCAGTTCACGCACAAAGCACGACATCCCCTCAGCGCCTTTTTTACCCTCCTTCCATCTCCCCTTGTTTTTCTCTGTCTTGTTTGTGACATCTCTATGTGAAAAGACAACAAAAGTCATGTTTTAATCTCTACCCGTGGCTCATTGTATGTGCAGAGAGAATGGTTTTACTGTTTCCGCCTTTTACCTTTTCAAACCCCATTTTAGTATTTCCAGTCAACACTGATTGCATTTGAATAACGAGTCAAATTGGACTTGATTAAATATTACCATACACAGTCAGAGCATTTCTCCAACATAAAAGGCATGTTTTCTCATGGATGAAATGCAAGCAGTGCATCAAGTGACAGCTGAACACTCATTCAGACGAGTCTTTTGTCTGATGATTGACAAAAATGTCATCTGTTAGGGTTAGCTTAGGGTTAGAGTTTGGATGAAGTTGAGCAGAGAAGTTTGGATAAACCAGCTAAAGTTTTTCAGAAATGGAACTCGTATTCTTATCAGACCTAAAGAGCCGAGTAAGGTAAAATGATTTCTGGTCTGCAGCATTACCCTTTGCACTTATTCATCTGTGGCATAGACGCTCACCTCTCTCTTTCTCCGCATTGTGCAGACTCCCGTTTCTCAAGCCCGAGAATCCCGTCGCGGCCGAGCAGGAAGCGCCCGTTGCCCATCTCGCCGCTCTCCGAGCACAGCTTCGATCTTCAGACCATGATCCGCAACTCGCCCAACTCCCTCGTCAACTCTTTGCTCAACAACTCCCGCTCCAGCTCCTCCACCAGCGGTTCCTACGGCCACCTCTCTGCTGGAGCCATCAGGTAGAGGAGCCACCGCGACAACTCCTGTGCATGAATTGTTTCCAGAACTTTTGATGAAAATACATATTCATGCAATGCTATTGGCACGTGCATTTTATTTTGGGCTTACTTCATATTTCTAATTGAAAGCTTATATGGTAAACTGCATGTGGAAGAAAGTTGTCTATAACGGGCTAAAATAAGTTTAATGGCCTGGAATATTTACCTCTGAGGTTTGATTTGTGTTCTGGGAATGGAGTCATACCCAAATTAATGTGAGTTTCTCTAGAAATAGGCTTTAATAGTTCCACGTGCAGCTGATTTCATGAGACAAACTTTGGCTGAGGTGGTAATAAGTCATTTTTGCCACATATTTCACCATTTCCTACTTTTTAGATTTTATATTTGCGGTTGAGGAGCCGTAATAAAAGTCTAAAATCCAACTTGTATCCTGTTGAAACTTCCCATAAATGCCTTTTTGTGCAATGACCAATATTCTCTAAAAACTTCTGGTATCGGTGGGGTCCAATGTCAGTCACAAAAAGATGTTTAATAGATATTTTTCTCTACGAGTCATTATGATGTCATTGAAAAGATTCACTGCTTCTGATTAGTCAAGTCATGGTTATTTTTTCAGTTTTCTCATAATTCAATGGATACTTGGCCCTTAAAGTTTTTGTCCATTCAGGTTTTGGGTGTCGGGTTACAGCTACAAGCTTCCAGCGTCGAGGGCCTAAAAATGGCTATAAAAATAAATGATGTAATATCAAAAGCACATGCAGGCTGCTGGAGTCATATGGAGCACAAAATAAAGAAACCTGTCATTTAGCTGCATTGTGAACACTGTAGGATCTACAGGTTTGGGAGATTCAGGATTTTCTTATCTAAGTGATTGTTCTTATAGCGGTTTTGAACGAGCTTTGTTCAGTTTGGTGTCACAATGTTCTCTCTACGACAAATATGTGGTGCGAGTGTCACATCCCCATGTGGGTGACAATCTCCCAGCCAGTCAGTCTGCCTCCCTGGCGGCTCGTGTCAGTCATAGAGCACACCTCAAGGAAGCCTCCCATACATCATGTCCCGGTACTGGAGGCAGGAAAAGGGAAGCAAAAGAAAAAAGCAGAGAAAGGGGGAAAAAAGGAAATATCCATTGTCCCACCCACAGCCATTGATCAGCAATCTGTAAGAAGAGCCTGATCAATCAAGCTGCACACTTTGCCACTGTCACCGAGTGACAGAGCCCAAATAGCCAGCGCCAACAGACTGATGAGTGATATGACAAGCGGATGGGCCCCCAAATGTGTCTCGGCCCATTGATTTCTACTCGGCTCATAATAAGATCAGCAGACATATGGGTCGCAGAGAGAGCAAATTGTCAACGCGCAGGATGAATGGAGCCCCGCTGGTAAACCACACAAGTCTGTTTTTATGTGGCGTTTCACCCGTTTTTTACACAGCCAGTCCAGAGGAGACCCGGTCCCTTTTGGGATTTTTATGCCCAACACAGCTAGCTGAGGTTATGGGTTAATATGCTAAAGAGGAGAGTAGTCTGCCCTAGTTGATAAAAAAAATAAATCCGCTTTGTTTGCACGGCTGTAAGATACACAATTTATCATCTTTATCATTTGCCCAGTGGAGGAATGACACATCGTCTTACACAGACCACATGATAATTCACTGTGTTAACAACCTGAACATTCATTGGCAGGGTTTTAGCCCACGGTCCTGTGGTTGCAGCATTACCACACCATCTCCTGTCAGATTGTCCTCAGGGATGAGGATCTATCCATAACAATCCATTTACACTCCATCGTTCCCCCTCTTTGCTTGTGTAACCGTTGTTTCAGTGATTTATCTTGAACTTTTACGACTATTTAAAAATTCCTTTTTTTTTCCCCTGCCGCCTCCAGCCCGGCCTTAAGCTTTGCCTACCCTCCGACCCCGGTGGCTTTGCACGTGCACCAGCAGCTCATCGGCCGCCAGCCGGGCATCGTGGGCTCCGCTTTTGGACACAGTCCTCCCCTGGTCCACCCGACGCCAGCCTTTGCCACTCAGAGGCCCGTGCCTGGCATCCCGCCGTCCGGCCTGAGCGCCAGCGAGCGCTCAGCCCTCTCCAACGACTCCTCACAGGTGAGGAGCGGTTAGCCGGAGCCTCCTCGATTCATCATCGCGCGTAATAGATAGCACTGTCGCATGCCAGCCCCGTGTGAGCGAAATGCAGCCGGCGAGCACAGTACAAGCAGGACCCCCCCCTCTGTGCTCTCCTCTCTGGGGACTTCCCTCCTACTTGTGTTGCCTCTTGTTTTAAGACAGTGGAGCGCAGCCCAGAACGTGCCTGCAGCAAACAACAAGGGGCTTGTTAGCATAGAATCCCACCGCTGACTCCATTAATCACCAGAGAGAGAACAAAGATATAGAGAGGGGATATTGACATGGATGGATGGATCCAAAGGGCCTTTTTCTCTCCTTCTTCAGCCCTTACTGTATGTGCGGGCCCGCATTTGAAGGATACATTCAGAGTTTATTACCCATCCTCCCTCTTGTTTCTCGTGCCTTGAATTTTCCCCCAATAACAAATGAGGCCTCATTCAAATTGGGTGCACCAAAATTGCATTTTCTTTTTCCTGAATAAACAGAATATTGCTTTGGGGGCCCACTGAGGAACATCACAGATAGGGCAAATGTGTGGCATGTTGTAGACACCACGTGGATGAAGAATCCTGTGAACCTCACAGTTGACTGTCTTTAGAACTGCAGAGCAGCAAAATCTGCCTTTGGAGATGTTTAAAGGCCCCTCTTTGTTTCTTTTCCTCGCGTAGCTTGCTGTACAACAAAAACTGCCTCAAGGGCATTTTTAAGCCAGGGCCAGAGCCAGGTCATCCATTAGTTGAATTGTTTCATGAATTTGTTTTAATTGCACTGATTAGGGCTGCTAATGTGATACACAGAATTGCATAGCATTTCATTAGCTCGATTAAGGCTCTTGTTTGAGACTCTGGTCATTATGGTTCGACCCCAGTTGTTTTTTCTGGTTGATTAAGGAAATGACACATTAGCTTATAAGGGCCGCATGCATTTTTAATCATTCCATAAAGAATAACGTTACCTATATGGTCGACTTTATGCCATTAGCGTCCATGAATGATGAACTTCTAAATGTTTTCTCTCTCCAGGCCAAACCAACAAGTGAGTCTGCTGTGAGCAGCACGGGCGATCCGATGCACCACAAACGCTCCAAAATGAAACCGGAAGAGGAGCTGCCGAGCCCTGGCGCGGTGAGCGTACAGGTGGGGGTTGTCCACAGCTGCCTAAAGTCTGAGGATCTTCCAGCTTCTAACATCCCGGGTTTAAAGTAGCACACTCGGCATTTCTTGATGAATCCCGGAATTCACCATTCTGCATCTATTTTTGGAACGATTTTCCCACAAAAATGAGAATCCCACATAAATGCTGCACACATGCCAAACTGGCTGCAACAATCAACAAGCTTACCAGCAATGGCGGCTTTTTATTCATCTGCATGTTGGTGTTAGTTTCCCATTCTTACCAGTTTTAGTTCCAGAAGTGAAGAAATCCATTCATATTTGGGACACTAGAAAGTCTTTTTTTCCCCCTTGTGTTTAATCACAATTGCTGGGAAGAAGAAAGTCAAAATGTGATGATGCTAAGCGTTTGCATCTGCAGAGAAAAGCCTTATTTTTTCTCAGGGAGCAGTGGCTGAAGCAGAGGTGTGTGGTGGAAGCCTCCTGCAGCGGCCCGCACCAGCTCCATGCTCTGCTCCGCCTTGTGACAGTGAAATATGTCCGGGCTAATAGAGCAACCTACAGCAGGAAAAGGGGGTTAGATTCCTTAAACATTCGCCCCGGTCCTGTCGTATAACAACCCCAAAACACAGAGGGGCTTTTCACTGCTACATTTCCGCTCCCCACACTTTTCCCCTCGCACAGGCAGACCAGGCCAGATTCATGTGGGCGCTGTGGTCCAGGCCTGTAGCCAGTAGCTCTCTGTTGGGCCTTTTATGTGAAAAAACGGGTTTTAGGATAAGTTATTACAAGTTGAAGTGCTCCCTCTTTAATTAATTGTACTCATTTTATTTCAGAATGCTTGTTGTTGATCTTCTTTTTTTCTTTTTTTCTTTTTTTTTTGCGTTTGCCTCTCAGGATCATCCTGAAGGGATGACTTTGGTAAAGGAGGAAGGGGACAAGGATGAGAGCAAACAGGAGCCAGAGGTGGTTTATGAGACAAACTGCCACTGGGAGAACTGCTGCCGTGAGTTCGACACCCAGGAGCAGCTAGTACAAGTGAGTATCCAGCACACCACACAGAAACAATCCTCGGGAATATATGTACTCTACTCTTTTCTCTGGGTCACACTACATTTGCTAAAGCAGCTGATAAAGTTTTCAGCTATTTGATTGGTCCAGAAAGCACATTGTAGAATGCATGAGGAGTTGCATGAGTGATTTCCGACATAAAGTTGATCCATCCCGAAAACAGAAAGAAGCTCAAGGCCCTTTCGGCCTCTTTCGCATTTTTTTGCTGCTGTCTGTGCAACTCGCTGTCAGTTTAACTGAACCGGTGCTGTGGCGGAGACATGCTTCAAATCCTACTCAGATGGACGTGCTACCCGCAAAACAAAGTGGTCCGCCACGACCCCTGCGCTGCTCTATGACCACCTTTTCTTATAAGCGAAGAGTGGGACGCAACGGGGGCGTTGGCAACCCTAGGATGGGGCTCAGAAAACATTCGTGTCGGCTGTGAGGCGCTCAGCAGATCCCGGCAACACCGTCGACAGAAGCTACTGTGCTAGACAGTTTCTCATGTCAGGACACAACTTCTGTGTCTGGCAGCGGAGGCAGAGCTGCAGGCGCTGGCTGTTAGTGATGCCGGATTCCTGATTCGATCCAGGGACAGTGGTAATGGGCCCAAAAGCTGGAGAGCACATCTCACAGCTGGACGGTGCTGACTGATTTGGCAGGTTTAAGCCTCCCAGAGCTTTTGTGTTCTGGACTGAACTGGACCCCCTCCTCGCCTGTTATCAGAACTCTCACACAGCCCCGGAGATGGATGGTTCTCCTCATCCTGTGCCTGAGGGGCTCTCTTCTGAAGCTACATTTTAATAGCTTTATGGTCGCGTCGTCCCCACTGTGGCCGCGGATGCTTGCCGCTCACCCTTCGGCTCGCAGAGAAAGCAGCCTGAAGTTGGAGGAGTGATGAAATTACACAAACATAAGCGACGGTGAAGTGCTCACATACACACGCGCGCACGAGAAAACACATCCCCGCACGTCTGATAGAAAGATCCCGGGCTCTCCACAGCTGTCTGTTTTCCGTCTTGACATTGCAATCCTCAGCTGCGGTGGTAACCCCTATCTATAATTGATATCCTCAGCACGGAATGGGCTGCCTCCCGTGTTTGAAGGGCTCAGCTCAAAGGTTGAGGATCTTGACAACTTCTTGCCCCTGTTTCCGGGGGCGGAATGAGTTAAAAGTGGTGGGAGAGAAGGGGGAAGGACGCCGTCTTAATGTTGTCACACAAGGAGGCCGTCCGACGAAAGCGCCGTCCTCATATTCCTCCGCACACAAACATCCAGCCAAACCTTGCCGAGCCGCACTTATCAGGGGGGAAAATCCTGATGAGTTTTTCATGTTTCCATCTTGGAATTGTCTTATTATTCCGATAGGACGTTTTATTTCTCATTTTCTATGCACATGCAGATATGCAGAGAGATGCCAATAAAAGTCTTCGCCTACAGAATCCCTGCCCTCTAATTCAGCAGAGCGGACGGGAAAATACTCTTATCTCTCTGCACCCCCATCCCCCTCAGTAATAGGATAAGTACAGTATTTGGACCACAGTGGCTCTCTTCACTCTCTGGGAGGGGCTTGAGGGGTGGGGGGGGATTTCCATATAACTAAACAATGGATCGTCCCTTCCCCCTGTACTTCTCTTCTGAAATGGCTTCTTTTTTGTGGTGGTGGGGTGGTTGATTTTTTTTTTTAAATTCTCCTTGTTTGGAGCAGTTTTAATCGTGAGCTTAGCTCAAAGTTCGCATTCCAAGGTGCCCGTCGTTGTTGACAATATCCGTTAAAAGAAACAAACAGAATTTTGAAGTGTGAAAAGTAACAGCAGTGCTGATTCAAACATGCCCTCTTTTCTTTGTGGTTGGCCTAATTTTAGAATTAAGCCTTCACACCACCCTCATCGCTTTCCACCTTGTTTAAAAGCACTCCTGTCGGGCTCTTGATGCATATTTTTACATCCTCAAAGATGCTCTCGCCGCGACACGCTACGGCGTTCCTTTATCATCAGTGTTTAAACGCCCTCGGTGCCGATGATAAGATAAACATCAGATCTGTGCAATTTGGCTCACTTATCTAGCCTACCCAGTCAGCAAAAGCGAGGCGGGTGTCAATTTGAGTTTTCTGTATTTATTACATTTACTACATTTCTACTCTTTTTACCTCTCCATCTCTCTCAGCATTTTTTTCCTTCCTCTCTTTTTTAGGCATGAACCTCCTTTGTCATTTTCTCTCCCTCCTCTCTTTCCCCTCCTATGGAGCACTTTTAAAGATAAGGCCTGGGGGCTTAATGTCTCTCTTGAAGTAGTTTTTTTTTTCCTCGTTTTGATGCCAGATGCCAGCCCCATACTCCCATAATTCACTAATATGGCCTTGCTTGACAATAGTTTATTATTTACCATGTGATTTAACACTGATTTAGAAGTCTAGAACGGACATTTTTAGTTTAGTGGTATGAAAGAACATTTTGTAGGCCATGTTGTCCTATATTTTGCTAGGTTTTTTAGTAAATAAAGACTGAAGACTGGGAAATTGGAGCTATCGTAAAACTTCTACCAGCTAAGCTTTGCTTGATGGATTTTCATGCCTCGCTTGTGCCTCAAGCCTTTCTGAATTGATGCATCATTTGCCTTGACAAATTTCACCCGAACACTGACATAAAAAAAACTGAATAAAAACACAGACATAAAAAAAAAAGAGATTTAACCTCTCAAGTGGTTTACTTTCTGGGATTTTAGGTGTCTTTACAGACTGAAGTGTAGAAATAAGCTATTTTAGTGGGAAATTTTGTGATTTTCTCCAGCAAAGCCACAGGTTGAAATTTGTTTTCCCTATGAATCCCTGCAAATACCAGGTTACAGTACCTAGATGTTGGTCTTAGGGACACCTTGTGGCAAAGGTGTTGATTGCAACCAACTGACTGTCCAGACTCACCCAGAAAATGTTTAGATCCAAGGTAAATCATAAATAAAAAGTGTTACATCTATTGCTTCAGGGATCCATTTTTGTATGTTACACTGAAGCATGTAGGACTATGTATAAGAATCTCGTCCTCATAGGTGGTGCTGCATTGCCTTTAGGGGAGAGCAGGCCCTCCTTGTGTGCAGTCTTGCTGAGACTGCTGCTGTGAACCTCCCCAGTGTTAAAGGGAGATAAACGCAGCCGCAGTCTGAAAGCAGCCCCCACTCCGCTCTGACTGCTGGCACAGACTTTAATTGGTAAAATGCAGATCTTTTTTGATCAGGAGAAGGATTAGGCCCCTTATCTGTCAAGAGTATCTTACTCCAAGATGAAAAGACTGTGCTGAATTACACATGCCAATTCCGTCTCCCTGCCCCCTGCTTCTCATTCACCAGCTCTCATCCGCCCTCCTTCTCTCACTCAGTCCCAATCCCCCCTTTTACTTCATCCCTCCCTGCTTTCCTCATTCCCACCTTTCTTTTCCCTTTTTCAGGCTCGTTTTCTTCCCCCTCTCTTCACACAAAGCACACTTGTGCCGCTGACATCACAAAAGAGCATATGATTTATTAGGCTGTGTTTGATAAAGCTAAACGGTGTTGCGGGTCCCATCGCTTAGTGAAATTGCCTTGTAAACAGGCCCTCTTTTCATGCACACTTGCATTCTAATGCATGAAGGCTGCGTCCCGGAGAGGGTTTGATAAGGAGACACAGAGATGGAAACTGAAGTGAGAAAAATGCTGGGTAATGGCAGAAAATGGTAAATTTGTGTTTTACAGGAATGCTTGTGGAGATGTGGGGATTAGAAAATCATTTGAAATCAGAAGCCTTGTATTTTTTTTATTTTTTATTTCAGATGACTTAAAAACATCAAGTGCAAAAATTGTGGAGGTTTTCTTTTTTTTTTCCTCCCAATCTTTTTTACATTCATTGTTTTTTTTTGCCAAACCAGCAGGGGTCTGAACCAAGAAAACAGTGCCTGCACCTGCTTGCGCGTGTGTGTGTGTTTGTGTGTGTGTGTGTGTGTGTGAGTGTGCGCCTCCCATACGTCACAGGCGGCTCTACTGTCCCCTGTGTCCATGTCCCTTGCGTTCCGTGTCGTGTGACTCCCTCCCAAATCCATCTTGGTGGCGTTTTTACAGTTGTTGGCCGATAAGCTGGCAGGGGGAAGATGAATAACCCGCCCCGCCGCCGCTATCAGCACCTGTTTGTCGATTTAGTCGGCCAACGGGACCTGTCTGCTCAGCATGGAGATTATTGATTCAATAAGAATTGCCATTAGATCATGCCATTAGGTTTCTTGGCGGCCCCTCTCCCCCGCGCTGCCTGTCCCCTCTCTGTCAGCTCTGAGGCTAATGCATCACGCCCGTCAACGGCCTCCTTCATTTGTACGAACGGCGAGCGAGCGCGCGTGTGTGAGTGTGTGCCAGCCGCTGGTATGATCCAAGACCACGGCCCTCTCCCATCGCTCTCAGCCGGGGGATATTGAGCGCTGGTCACAACAGACCGATCGCTTGCCACTGGGGTTCCCTCACGGAGGGGACAAGTCTGGTTTTTTCTCAGGCTCTGACCAGGGGTGGGGAGAAGATTGATCCTCGCCACCGCATATGGTCGTCCAGTTTCCAATCATTTTGCCCGGAATTAGTCTTGTTTTGTCACTTAGAATTAAAAAAATGTCAAGTGAGAATAATGGAAGTTCTTCGCTGATATATTACTATCAATTTTACTGATTCCCTTTTGCCTGGGCTCTCCGCTGGCGCTCGCTGACTCATTTGTCGATCCTCCCCGGCTTTACTGCCTCTTTCTGGTGGATGTCATGCTTGCGCAGGAGGTCTTGTCAGGTCACGCCTGGAGGAAAACTTACCCCGGATGCTTTATTTGCTTTGGTTCTGCATGTTTCATAACTCAACGCCCAGGTGAATAAGTGCTCAGACAAAAGCATAAATTCCCCAGTCGTTTAAGAGCATTCAAAGTCAAGTCCGTATTTATGTCCCCTCCTATCTGTCCTTCTGTGTTCGCCCCCGGGGTAAAAAGACTCCTTTTTCTGCCGCTCAGGAATGTCATAATACTGGTTTCCTTCGTTCAGGATATTGTCTGTCTCCCTGGGTTCAAACTGCCCTCGGTAAAACACTTCAGAGGCCACTGCACTCTGTTGTCTCTCGAAGAGAGCCTGATGTTGACTTTATCCCCAGAGGGATGTCCCCCCCCCCACCCCCCTCCTCCTCTTTTCACCGCTTTCATTCCTCTGTAACATCCACCACTAACCCCTCTTTACAACCCAGTTATTGAGAAAAGAAGAAGAAAGATGGAGTAAAAGGAAGGCAGAGAGATGACCAAGGCAAAGGTGGTGCTTGCAGATATTACGCTTGGCCGGAGTTTTAAAGCCCCTCGCATTTCCGAAATCCTTGACTGAACTTTTGATATCTGGCTCCAACCCTTCACCTTCTCCGTGCTCCCCTCTGCTCCCTGAGCCACAGATTGGAAGTTGCCACGGCAGCAAAACTGTCAGTGCTCGTCATAGAGTGGTGGCGGCCCACGGTGATGCAAAGCGACAGGGTTTTATTAGAAAATCACATCCAGATCGGACACCAAGACCCACAAGCCTTTGTGTGCTTTTCAGACGAATGAGTTAGAGGATGATTGGAAAGCAAATAAGGATGGAAGGAAAACAACAGTTAGAGAAACGAGATTGAAGAACGGCAAAGAAATTCTCTTGCACGCCTTAGCAAGAAATCAGTTGCTTTAAAACGGACGTTGACGGGGCGACACGACAGTAAGGTAGCTCTGTTTTATGTTCTTGTCTTTTTTGTTCCCCCAGCACATCAACAATGACCACATCCACGGAGAGAAGAAGGAGTTTGTGTGCCGATGGGAAGAATGCTCTCGAGAGCAGAAGCCCTTTAAGGCCCAGTACATGCTGGTGGTCCACATGCGCAGGCATACTGGAGAAAAACCACACAAGTGCACGGTAAGGAGGGTCAAATGTCCTGTTCACTCCAGTTATTTGGAGATGAAAATCTGTAATTGCATTATACTCCGTTGTAGTCGAGTTAATATGTGTTTTTTCTTCTTTGTTTATCCAGTTTGAAGGGTGCACAAAGGCCTACTCTCGTCTGGAAAACCTCAAAACTCACTTGCGTTCCCATACTGGCGAGAAACCGTACGTGTGCGAGCACGAGGGCTGCAACAAGGCTTTTTCCAACGCTTCAGACAGGGCGAAACATCAGAACCGCACACACTCAAATGAGGTACGAACACGCACGGCTCAACGCGATCACTCATCCTTGAATTCCCCGGTCTGCTGAGTTTGAAAATAAGCTCAAGGTTCTGCTCTCTCTCTCCTCTGTTAGAAACCCTATGTGTGCAAAATCCCAGGCTGCACCAAACGCTACACGGACCCCAGCTCCTTACGCAAGCACGTCAAGACGGTACATGGACCCGAGGCGCACGTCACCAAGAAGCAGCGGGGAGACTACCCACGCCCCCCGCCCCAGCCACGAGAGCCAGGGGGCAACGGCCAGGGCAGGTCGCCGGGGCAACTGCCCCTGGGGGGGTACACGGACCAAAGGGAGTACAACCATGCTACCTCAAAACAGGATGAATGTCTGCAGGTCAAGTCCATCAAAACAGAGAAGCCCATGGTGAGACTTAATTTTAGCTTCCTGATTCATTTTGTTGACATTTGATTTTTTGTTTGTGAGACTTTTTAACAGTCTTACTAGAATGAATTTGACATAATCTTCTAATGAATGCGTCTTTTCCTCTGTCCAATGCTTCGGCATTTCTCTCCGCGTCTTTCTAAGGACAGTGGGTAATCAGGTGAGATGGGTGTCACATCGCACTAGTCAAATATTTCAAAGTCCGTCTTTTTTTTTCTTCCTCATCAAATCATGATTTTTCTCATCCCGCATCAAGTGCTCGACGCTTTCACTCCAGACGGGGCAGATTTGCTCTCGTCGCTGGTCTCCCTTTCTTATCCCTCCCAGTCATAAAAAGATTATTTTGCTCATGTCATTGTACGGGCACTTTGATAAGTCACCAATGCCAAAACATTTTTTCTGGGCACTGCCCATGCCTTTGGGCACGACTGCAAGGACACTGTGACTATTCCTGATACTGCCCAGGGCTGCAGCCAAATCCTTTCACTGGTAAACGGGGTGAAGAGTCTTCCAACATTTCTGACGCTTGCTGCCAAAAAAAGTGATTTAATTATTCCTTAGTGCAACATAGTTCCTAAAACTCTGTAAACAATTTAATTAGGCATTAGCCCGTCTCATTTGAGACCTTTATCCTATTTGCCTTTTCTCTGAAAACAATCCAAAACATGATTTTGTCCTTTGAAGTGTTTTTTTCCCCCGATCAGGGTCATAGGAGGAGGCATTACTCATGCCTCAGTAATGTCCGACCCATTAAACACCTTCAGATATCCTGAAAGAATTCAGATTGCCCTCCATACTCACAACTCATATTTTACATGAGATCAGAAGGAAATCGAAGATAAAATGATGTGATTGTTTGTATTAATGGCGTCATCCTGGCTGAACAGATTCATGATTACTAAGGATTAAACACAAGCTGTGGATGACATTAGGTCTAATTCGCCACATGTTGTGGGCTACACATAGAGGGCGCTAAGGCACAAGCAGGGGCCTCAGTTATTAATAAATACGGGAAAAGCCCAAGATTAAAAAAAAAAACCTTTATTAAGCAAATTCATTACAGGAAAGTTCTTATACAAAAATATAATAAATGATTAAATGTATTTAAGAATAATGGTAAAGGAAGAAAGAAGTATCATTACAGGGAGTCAGTAATATTCTCTGGGCTCAAAAAGGATATAAAACTTGAACAGTTAGCAGATCATAAGATTCCATGACTTCATTTATATTTTCCAGTGGTTTGTCAGTGTAATACTTTTTATTGTTTGATGTACATTCTGTCATTTTTCTGTGGCGTCCAACACTGTGTAAATTTGCTTGCGTTCCTGGAAGTTAACTTAACCATCCACCTTTTTATCCAACTTTTTATTCAGACGTCTCAGCCAAGCCCTGGCGGTCAGTCTACATGCAGCAGTGACCACTCCCCCCTCAGCGCCTATCCCTGCAGTGGAGTCCAGCTTGCTGTGAGCGCCGGACGCTCGCCAGGGGAGGGGCTGGAGGAGGACCAGGAGAGGGAGGAGCACGAGGAGGAGGAGGTGGAGGAGGAGTGCGAGGGCGGGCCGGCCCCCATCATGGACTCCACCGTCTCCACGGCCACCGCCGCCATGCTGACCCTGCAGGCGAGGCGCAGCATCGGCCGGCCCATGCGCTGGATGGAACACCTGAAGATGGAGAGGCTGAAGCAAGTCAACGGAGCCCTGCCCAGGCTGGGGCCCCTGTCCCCGACACCACCCCCCAAAGGTTCTGCGGTGCCCAACATCCAGGGGAAGGGTAAGGCTATCCGTTTCAAAACTTGTATTTCATCTCAAATCCAGTCGGATGTTGACAGAATCTTTAACTCATTGACTGCCAGCCATTTTCAGAACAGAGAGTCCCATACTGACTGAGTTTTTTGAGCATTTTGACTGATTTGTCAAGAGCCACAGAATAGTTTGTGCTATGACTATGTAAACACCGAACACACCGAAAGAAAGAGTAGACTCTCTTCTTTCATCAGGAAAAAAAAAAGTGTTTCTTCCTTATTCCGTTCTTCCTCGACTTGCGTCTCAACGGCGACATGTTCTCTCATAGAGAACCGTTACCTTTTTCTTATTTGCCTACAGTCTATGCTCATCTCCCATCAAAAGTGGCACTGCCCCCTAGAGGCTCAATTTGTTACTACACACTCTGTCTAGAAGCCGATATTTACGGACAAGCTTTAGCAGATCGTCCCCCAAGCCACTCGCGTAGAAAAACATAAAAGACGTCTATAGACGTCTTTGGCAGCCAATGAGTTAAATATTTTCTAATAAGTCCAGAGGCCTTTCATTTGTCGGTAGTTTGTACTAATACAAAGCACCCATAGACAGGATTTACAGAACTGAATCCCTAATTTAGGATTCGGGCATAACCAAAAGCTTAAAATTCGCTGTTCCGCCGCAAAATGCTATCGCGGCCATATCAAGCTGTACATCATATCAGAGTGCAGCATGTAATGTGAGGTTTCATGGCCAAATGCAGCTAGCTATGGTGCCGTCTGCGTTTACAGATTCTCTCCACACTTAGACTTAACTTATTTGCTTTCTTTGCTCTCATTTTTTTTCTCCTCGTCCCCTCCCAACCGTCCTCTAACTTTCTCTACGTGTCTATCTTTAGGGTCCTGCCTGGGCAGGCAGTGGGGGGTCTCGGCCCCTCACGCCGAGCTGGTCAGCACGGAGCTGACCGTGCTGGGCCTGCTGCGGGAGCGCCGCGACAGCGGCGGCAGCGCGGCCAGCTCGGCCTACCTGAGCAGCAGCCGGCGCTCCTCGGGCATCTCGCCGTGCTTCTCCAGCCGGCGCTCCAGCCAGGGCTCCCAGAGCGAGGGCCCGGGGGGGTGGGGCGGGGGGGCCGCCGGCCACCGCCGCCTGCACAACCTCAGCTCCACCGACTCCTACGACCCCATCTCCACCGACGCCTCCCGCCGCTCCAGCGAGGCCAGCCACCACGGCGGCGGCGGCGGCGGCGGGGGGGGGGTGTTCTCCGCCGGGGGCTGCGGAGGCGTAGGGGGAGTGGGCATAGGAGGAGGGGGGGGGTCACGAGGCATGCTGAATTTAACCCCAGCGCAGCACTATCACCTGAAAGCCAAGTACGCGGCGGCCACCGGCGGGCCCCCCCCCACCCCTCTGCCCAACATGGAGCGCATGAGCCTGAAGACCCGCATGGCCATGATGGACGACGGCGGGAGCAGCCGCTGTCTGCCGCCCCTGGTGAGGCCCCCCCGCTTCGAAGAGGGCGGCGGCGGCGGGTACGGCGGCGGGTACGCGGGACACGCGGGGAACAGGAGGAGGATCCTGTACCCCGGCGAGGGCCCGCCCAACGGGATCCGCAGGGCCAGCGACCCCGTGCGGACGCAGGCGCCCGAAACCTTCAGCCTGCCCCCCCCGCAGCGCTTCAACAGCCTCAGCAACCTGCACCCCCTGCCCCCGCTGACTCAGCACGCCCCCGCCGAGCCCCGCAGCTTCTGCCTGCAGAACTACGCCCGCTCCGAGGGCAGCCTGCAGCCCCCGGCCCACGCCGCCAGCATCGCCGAGCACGCCGCCCTGGAGGCGCTGGCCATGGAGGACGACGGCGGCGGCGAGGGCGAGGCCGGCCTGCTGCTGGGGGACGAGGACATCCTGCCGGACGACCTGGTGCAGTACCTCCACTCCCAGATGGAGAACGCCGCCTCCCTCCCCCACGAGGAGTCCCGCCATCAGAGGGACGCCGGCTACCAGCCCGCGGACGCCTTCCCCAACTCGCCGTTGAACGCGGCGTTCCCCGCCCCTTTCGGTTTCCAGCAGCAGGCGGCCGAGAGGAAGAGCCCCAGCCAGCTGCCCGTCCAGTGGAACGAGGTCAGCTCCGGGAGCGCCGAGCGGTCACCACAGAGAGGACGCCACCCGCATTTCTACTGCGAGCGCTGGCCCGACGCCGAGCCCTTCGGCCGCTTCGGGAACATGGTGGTCCAGCAGCAGCCGCCGGCCGACTTCCAGAGCCAGAGCCCCTGCTGCGTCCACCCGGCGGTCAAGCTGGAGACGGCGCCCAGCTCCTGCATGGAGATGCGGGACGCCAACGCCTTCGGAAGACCGGGCTTCACGCAGATCCCCGAGGGTCCTCTCCTCCCCGGCCCGGTCACTAACCGGGCCCCTCTCCTGTCCCAGGAAAATGCCCCTTATCACAACCGGCCGGTTCACGCCCCCCACCCGCCTGCCAACGGCTACCGGAACTCCCCCAGAACGCACCAGTACCTCAGCGCCGACGGCCCCCGCCCGCCCCAGCCCCAGAGGGGCGGGGACCCGCGCTCGCTGGCCCTCCAGGTGTCCGGCCTGAAGCTGGAGAGCTCTGACCACGGCTACCTGGA